TGTTGGTCCTTTCCTATTTCGAGAAAAACAGCATCTTGCTGTACAGCTTTCAGAGTTCAATGAAAACATAAGCAGAACAAACGAAAAGTTAAAAAGTTCATTTTGTATTTTGTCTTTTGATTTTGCCAGGCAACACAAACATGCTCACCACTCTCTTGGTGGTTGGGCAAAATGTGCCCTTGCCGAAGGCAAGAAGGTTGAAAAAGCCGCGCAGAACAGCCATTCCCAGCTGCACGTCTACTCATGCAAATGCAGCGTGCTTCCCCACAAGGAAAAGTAAACAACACTGTAAGCAATACAGATCATCTCATAATGGCAAGCCTAGCCAACCGAGCCACAAGAAAATCAATCCGAAAGCACAACATTTTGCGCAGAGCATGATTTCCCACACAATGATTGCCATTGTGTTATTACAGGAAACCACCTTCTCTAAGTTTCAGAGGGGAGCCATGCTGGCCTGGAGTGGAACGGCTACGAGTGAGCATTTGAAAATTAAAGCTCCTTTGTCAGACTCAAGTTGGAATAGAGATCTCTGATCAAATGTTCGTTAGCAGGCAATTTGACACCAAAGATTTCTGCCAATAAGGGTATCAAACAGGGTTGCATTTCAGCTCCCTTTTTATTCAATCTTTTCCTCAATGACCTTGCGGCTCAGTTCTCTGGTGCTGACTGTCATAGTCCCAAACTTGGTGCAATATACGTACCCCTGCTTCTTTATGCTCTAGAGTGGGACTAAAACATCTGTTGACCCTTTGTGTGGCATTTTTTTTTTACTACTAATAAGCTCCAGTTGAACCATGAGAAGTCAAAAATCTTAGTCTTTTCAAAAAAGTGGAGATCTTACAACTGGGTCATTGCTGGAAAAGATAAAGCAAGGCCCCGGTCACACGGGCAGGAAACTGCAGAGGAGAAGCGTGGCTGTTTGCCCTGGGGCAAACTACTGCACAGTTACGCGATCAGACCTCCTGTGGAGGTCCTGTGGAGGTACCGTGGAGGTTCCATGGCAAGGGAGAGGTGCCGATCACAGGACAAGCCAGCGCGCAACGAAGAAGCGCGCACCGCGGCAAACTGTTTTATATTTTTGTGTACATGACAAATGCGCATGCTCCGTTGGGTGCGCGTGCGCATCCACAGAGACTTGGACAAAAAACCCACCTTATTTGCAAGGGGACATGGGCGGGCGCCGGATGCCTCCGGAAATGCGATCAGACGCCCGCCCTTGCCCCGCAGTTTCCGGAAACTAGTACCTCCAAGGTACTAGTTTTTTGCCACGCAGTTTCGGCTGGAAGCCTCGGTTGAGCCACGGGAGTGCTACGCTTCCCAGATGTGCTGGTGAGATCGCGCCCGGAAACTCCGGCTGTTTTCCGTCTCTCTTGCGTGGCTAATGTTCCGTGTGACCGCAGCCCAAGTCAAACATTTTAAATATCAGGGTATTTATTTCCGATATAATGTGACTTGATCTACCCAATGTAAGTATGCGGTGAAATCAGCTAACAGTGCAATAGAATCCACCTTCCAAATCAGCCATTCTCTCCAGGTGAACTGATCTCTATCATTTGAAATCCCTGGAGATTTCCAGCTACATAGATTTCAAGGTCTGCTGTGTAAAACACTCCTCAAAACAGACTGAACAAGCAGAGAAAAAACTTTTTGTGAGTATGAAATTAGATGTGAGTATGTGCTGTAACAACGTGTAGTTCCAAAGAATGTTTTGAAATATTGTTATATGTCTATATGGTTCATAGTGACAGCCGCGGTACCTTGATAAAAGACCGAACACAGGTGTGGAGCTCACCCATCAGAGCCATGACAGTTGATAAGATATTTGGAATAATTTACATCTATGTCAAAGAAGGACTGTGTAAAACAACTTTGAGATGTACTATATGGAGGAACTTTGAGCACAGACAGTTTGGTTTCCAAGGACACTTTAAATATTTGTCTATTTTGTATTGGAATGTGTTTTGTAATTTGTACCATAATATAAATGCTTAACAATATTTATTGAATAGATTGCATAATAATACCATGGTTGTTTTTTGTTTATTTAAAACCTATCATGTGATCTCACGTTTGTATAACCATTGGGAGTTTTGCAACCCTGCATATTGCCTGAACTTGGTTACCAATTTTGAAGATGGAAACATTTTTTAAAAATATTTTAAACATATCTATGTCTGAGAGTGTTTTGCCAAGTGAACTGGCTCCAAGAACAATTTGAAAAAAGGAGCCTTTAAAAAAAATTAGGGTCCCCTCGTTTTTAAAATAGTCATCTGAATTTTAGAGGGGCAGAGTTTTGATGCAGAAGCTGTACTGTACAAAAGGTATAAGGTTCAGGGGGGAAAGGCATGAGTGGATGTTTGGAATTTATGAAGGTCATTAGTAGGGGATGAAATCAAGATAAAACAGCTGTAATGACAGTTATTAGAATCCTGAAACACCCTCGTGAGTTTCTGTAATTGCTCATGCCTGCCGGAGGTTTAGGCATTTTAAAATTACCTTTCTGAACCCTGTGAAACATTCCTTGATGCCATTTTATAACTGGGCTTGCTGAGATCGCGCAAATTGATTCACATTTTCCCCTTGTTAATTTCTCACCATTACTAATACCAAAAAAGAAAAGAAAAGAAAGCACCCCGAGTTAGATATAAGTCTTTGTGGTTAGGGCCATCATTAACACTTCTCCCATCCTCTTAACGATGGAACACTTTGCTGTTATGAAATGCGCTAAGTGTATTTTCTTCCTACTAAATGTAGAGGTAATATCACAAATGTGGTGACATCTGCAAGCAGAGGATTGGTTTAAATTAAGAAACCAGGGTCCTTCAATCAGAGAAAGCAAACCAGTGCATTCTAGAAATCTATCTTAAGGAAACTGGAGATGCAGTTCAGTTGATCACTTATTTTCCCTATATTTTAAAAATTTCGTTAAGCTTTGCCTCTTGTTAGTAAACTACAAAATGAGCCAATCCCTTCTCTCCAAATCTCTCTGAAGACTCTAAGGGTCTTTTTGCCAGTGGAGCTGTGCCTAGCGACCACCCCTCTCCCTCCCTGCTAAAAGATTTAAAGGGCCCTGCAGCTGGTCAGTGGGCCATGTGCTCCCTGCTAATCAGCTGAAGTCCTTTAAATCTTTTAGCAGGAAGGGAGAGGGGTGGTCGCAGGTGGCTATGGCTTGGGGGTGGGGCTTGGGGGCAGGGCTTTCCCCAGTGGCCAGCTGGCCAGGGGTGTATTTGAGCCCCCAGAAGCGGGGGAACCCCCACCTGGACCTGGGGGCTGGCAACCCTGGTATTTGGCCTCAAGCTGCCTCACCCCTTTTGGATGAGGGATTTCTCCATCTGCAAAAGCTTCACATTAGTTCTGCTTCCTAGGAGTATACCACCTCCCACTTTGGGCAGAGCCTCTTATCTCTTCTTCCCAGGCAACACCCTCTACTATTCTGCTGGGGAAAGCTTTCCTTCCAAATACCCTGTTAGTCAATCATAGCATCCAAAGGAGACCTGGGAAATGTAGGCCCTGATAGCTACACTAGTACAGGCTTCCCTAGAGCCACTAGGCCACCCTATAGCGTGTAGGCTGCACTACTATAAGCCTAGGAGGATCATGACAGGGATGAGAGGGGGAGGAGGGGAGCGATCCTCTCGCCACTGGCAAGACCCATTGTCTTTCTTCAGAAGGCTGAAATGAAACACAGAATGTATGGATCTCAAGTTTTTAGGTAGTTCAACATCAGCAGCCACATCATTGATGACTTTGCGTACTTTGAAAGGTCCAATGTATTTCCAACCCAGTTTACGGCTGGGACGCAACAGTTTAATGTTATTAGTAGACACATACACCAAATATCCAGGCCATAGAGCCCAACCCTCCACCCTACCCCTATCGGCCTGTTTCTTATAGGCAGCCTTGGCTGCATCCAACGTTTTACAGAGCAAGGGCCAAGCCTCTTGCAGAGTCTTACACCATGAACCAGCATCCCCAGTTCTCACCACTTGTTTTCCTTCCAAAAAAGGCATGGGAGGACTGTCATATCCATAAATGACTTTAAATGGAGACATCCCAATGGAGGTGTGACTGGTGTTATTATAACAGTATTCAGCTAGCGGCAAGAGGTCACACCAATCGTCTAGTTGATAGTTAGTAAAGCAACGGAGATATTGTTCCAAAGTTTGGTTGACCCGTTCCGTTTGACCGTCGGTCTCTGGATGATAGGCGCTGCTCAACTCTCTTTCCACGCCCATAATACTCATCAGTTCCTTCCAAAATTTGGAAACAAATTGGGTCCCCCTGTCGGAGACCACCTTGGTTGGCAGCATGTGGAGACGTACAATGTGAGAGAAAAAAGCTTTGGCTAACGCTTTAGCCGTCGGGACCGATGGAAATGGGATAAAGTGTGCTTGTTTAGAAAACAGATCTGCAACAACCCAAATCACAGTTTTATTCTTGCTAGGTGGCAGGTCAGTTATAAAATCCATGGAGATCACCTCCCAGGGTCGAGTAGGCGTGGGCAGAGGCCGTAGCAGGCCAGGTGGCTTCCCCCCCCCGGGGGTTTGCTCATTGCGCAGATTTGACAAGTTTTTACAAATGCTGAGAGGTCTTTGCGCATGCGCGGCCACCAGAATTGTCGTTGTAATAGTTGCAAGGACTTTACAAAGCCAGAATGCCCTGCTAATTTCGACCCATGAACCGAGAGCGTCACTTCTTTTCGAATAGTAGCTGGTACGTACAGCTTACCGTCCTTGTACCAGCAACCGTTGTCCCCTGATTGGCAAACTTCCACCCCCCCCCCAGCCATGATTTCTCGTCCTCCGATAGTTCTGCCTGGAAACGCTTTACCCAGGGAGATGCGGGAGGGGCGAGAGGGGTTGACGGGGAAGAAGCGAGGAGTTCGGCCGCTTGGTTACGTGTGATGACCGCTCCCCCAAGCTGGGCGGGAGTGAAAACTGAGTCCAAGATGACATCACACTGACTCGCATGTTGGGGAAGGCGGGACAACCCATCGGCTAGCGAGTTAGCCGAGCCTGGAAAATGGTGAAGGGTGAACTGGAATTTGGAAAAGAAATCAGCCCACCGCAACTGCTTGGCGTTGAGGCACCTGGGTTTTTTCAATGTTTCAAGGTTTTTATGATCAGTCCACACTTCAAATGGCACCCTGGCCCCATCCAGCCAGTGCCTCCAGGTTGACAGCGCCAGCTTGATTGCCCCCGCCTCTTTCTCCCACACGGACTAATGTCTTTCAGAGTCAGAAAATTTCTTAGAAACATATGCTAGTGGGTGAAGCAACCCATCCTCCCCTTCTTGGAGTATTGCCCCCCCATTGCCACGTCGGACGCGTCCGTTTGCACAATGATTTTTTTTTGTTTTCATCGAAATGGGCTAAGACTGGCTCTGAGGTGAACAAGGCTTTTAGGTGCAAGAACGCCTCATGGCATTCGGGCGACCAGCTCAGGGGCGCACTGGGTTTAGTGGCATCCTGCCCTTTTCCTTTTGTTTTCAATAGGTCTGTCAGGGGGAGGCAGATCTGTGCAAAGTTCGGTAGAAATGTTCTGTAAAAATTGGCGAATCCGAGGAAACTTTGCAGTTGCCTCCTTGTTCGCGGGGCCTCCCACCCCAACACATCCCGTACCTTCCCCGGGTCCATATCGAGGCCAGTTCCCGATATGCGATAGCCCAAAAAGTCAATGTGTGTTTTATGGAACTCGCACTTGGAAAGTTTAGCAAACAACTTGTGCTTGTGCAACGTAGTTAGAACGTCTCTCACCAACTTTATGTGGGAGGTTAGATTGGGGAAATAGATTACAAAGTCATCCAAGTAAACAAGAACCCCCTTAAACAGATGTTTATGCAACACCTCGTTGATTAAATTCATGAAGACCCCCGGGGCCCCTTGAAGGCCGAACAACATCACGAGGTACTCGAACTGCCCCAATGGAGTGTTGAAGGCGGTTTTCGCTTCATCGCCTTCCTTGATGCGCACCCTGAAATAAGCATCTCTGAGATCGAGTTTGGAAAATATTTTCCCCTTTGCTGCCTCTGCAAGTAAGTCTTTAATCAGGGGCATCGGGTATGCATTAGTTGCTGACATGGCATTCAGACCTCTATAATCCATGCACAGTCTCAATCCCCCATCCTTTTTTTCCTGGAATAACACAGGTGCTGCGAAGGGGGAGGAGGCTGGCCGGATGAAACCCCTGGCCAGGTTCTTGTCTATGAACTTCCTCAGTTCCTCTTTTTCGGCTGGTCCCATAGCATAAATTTTCCCTTTGGGTAGTTTGGCCCCTGGGACTAGTTCTATGCTGCAATCAGAGTGTCTATGGGGGGGGGGTAATTTGTCAGCCTCCTCTTCCCCAAAGACGGCTGCCAAGTCTCTGTATTCTTTGGGGATGGGCAGAATCTCCTCCCTTGTGAGCAGTGCATAGAGGTCTCCCGCCTCCGTGGTTATCCCCCATTCTGGGTCCCATCTAT